CCATATCAAACAGACCAAGGCCATCAAAGGAGAGGTCCTCTACATATGACCTAGTATCTGGCTGTAGATTGGTGTTACGTAGCTAGGAATGCCTTCGGAGAGCTATGGCTGAAGCCATTGTCCTTGAGCAAGTGTCTAGGGCATGTTTGGAGGTATTAATTTGTTGCTTTGCCAGCACCATGCCCTCCTTTTGGATGATGCGGGCTGCCTGACGCTTGTCTTCTGGAAGGTAAGCCAGAAGCTCAGAAAGCCTTTCCCACAAAGTGTATTGGTATCTACTCATACGCGCTAAGTAATTGGTGGTCTTTACCCCTAGTGCTCCCGTAGAGTACAAATGTCGTCCAAATGCATCTAGCTTCTTGCTCTCGTCAGAAGGTGCAGAATGTGTTCTCTTACACTTGGATGAGGAAGTGACTACCATGGAGTTTGGTTGAGGATCTGCGAATAAGAATTCTGCTCCTGTTTCTTGGACTCTGTACATATGGTCCAAGCGACGTGTGGACACTGGAGCCGATGACGGTTTATCCCATGGAGCTTAAGCTGCCTGTAACAGGATCGTGGACATGGGTAGTGCTATAGCTGTTGATGTATCTAGCTGCACGACATCGAAGACAGCATCTGTAACCTGTGGATGTGGTTGTACGATGGGAAGGCCAAGGGAGTGTGCCATTCTTTTTACAAGGTCTCCATAGGAGGTTAAATTATCTGATGGAGATATAGGTTGGTCATCGGCTACTGCCTGGTTAGGAGATGGCTGGTCAGGGGAGCTGTGCACATCTGAAGCCCCTGTATCAAAATCCTCATCCACAGAGTCAGAGGAATCGGGCTCTGGTAATTGTACCGGAGTGGTTTTGATCTGACTGGTTGGATCTGTTGACGGTGGGATAGGGGGACTGGGAGGACGATATTGATCCAGTCAATGTCGATTAGGGTCATCAGATGGATGATCCAGAGGACGGGAGAGAGATGCTGAAGGCCTCGATCTATAGGGTGACCATGATCTGTGGGCAGAGTAACAATCCCAATGAGAGTAACCTGCTGGAATCAACCACGGCATGGATGTGGGTGGATAGAGATAATGCAGTTGGCGTGATCCCAGGAGAGAGGAGGTGGGGGGGCAGGAAGACTCGTGGGGATCTACTCCTAGAGCGGGAGCATCTGGGAGACAGTGTAGGATCCGGTCTCCGTGTGCGGCCCCTGTTAGCCCGATCATCGATATTGAAGGGCCGATCCTCGGCGAACAGACGGGGAGGATGACGTTGAGTGCTTTTAGGGATCTGTCGATGCCGACCCGCATCAATATTGGCATGGCACTCCGAGACTGTCGATGTTGATGACTGAGCAGAGGGAGAGCGATCCGTGCCCAGGGGACGACTGAGGATCTCGACATTATCGATGTCAGAGAAAGGATGCATATCGACCAGCATGTCATGGTCTAGCTGGTGTATGGGAGAGTCCGTTAGCTGGATGGTCGGTATTGGTGGAGCGACCAGAGCCTCCGATGCCGATACTACCGTTGTAGCGGGGGGCACGTTAGGGGCATTACCCGGTGCAGTACCCGCAACTTTCCCAGACTTCGCCGCCTTTAGGGCCTTAAAGGAGCCCTTTTTGGCCAACTTGTGCTCTTTACCCGACTTCTTTTTCACGGGAGTTGATGCCAAAGACCGCGCCGTCGGTGACGAACGCTTCGAAGTCGACTGGACGATGTCGGACGAGGACTTCGATACCACAGTCGTCGATGTCGATGGTCTTACCGGTACTTCTGGATCCATGACGGAAGCAAGATTTAGCGCTGATTCCAGTAACGCCACCCGGAGACGCGCCGCTCGTTTTTTCCTAGTCTGAGTTGAAAACTTGGCACAGTGTCAACAGGACTCTGGCCGGTGTGTCTCGCCAAGACAAAAAATGCAAAGGGTGTGGCCGTCAGGAGGAGCGAGCTTACTGCCACAACCCTTGCAATGCTTGAAAAAGCCCCACTTCTTCTCCATAAAATAAGCAAGATGGAGAAGAAAAAGAAGTGGGGGAGGGAGCCCAAAGGCCAAAATGAGGTAAACAAAAAAACTTCCCCCTCAACTGAACAAAGTCCTTTTTTGGGGGAAGAAACAACCCAAAAAACAAAGGTAGAAGCGAAAAATAAAGAAAACTGAAGAGAAAACAGAAGAGCCTCTGAGGAGAAATAGCTACCGATCAAACTGACGAAAGGAAGGTGCTTCCAGCGTGGCGGAAAGAAAGGAACTGGCGGGATGTCCACGCCCACCCCTCTGGGCATGCGTGGTGGGGTTCCTGCGCATGCCCGATGTCTGGGCGCAAAAATCCATTAAGAGCTTGCTACAATGCCGATTGATCCAGTGCGTGTGCACTGTATCCCCATGGGTGTGAAGCACAGAGACCACATTGAAGATCTGTGAGCTAGTTCACACTAACTCAGCGTAGAGTGAACACTGGCCCTAACCCTGAGGAGGTGCATGGCAACAGCAGCCTCCACAGTCCTACAGTCGCTTGGTATCACGAGGTTCCCAGCCCCAGCAGAGGAGGTGATACAGAGATTGGACTCAATGTCTTTGGATATCAGCGGCTCTGCCCTGGCAGACAAATGGTGCGGGAGGCAGTGGCAGTGCAGCTACCCCTGGGACAGGTGTTGCAGCCGCTGGTGGCCCAGAGGAGGGAGAGGATTCTGGCCCCTTGCCAAGTCTTCGCATCCAGCACAGCTCCTGCCCACTTTCCTCATTGTGGAGGAATTGAGCAGGAGAGGCTGGAGAGCTGTTACGAGTGGCGGGAAGCCTTTTCCGGGGGCAGTAACAGATGGAGGTGCTGGCAGCATCTGTAATGGCAGCTGCTGGGCACCTGGAGGGGCTTCTTGCCATAGCAAGGGACATGGCTATCTAGACAAGCTACAGTCTCCCAAACTTGTTTGTTTTTTGCATTTATTTCTCTCTTAGTTACTATAACTGAACTTATCCTAAAGTACTAGGGACCATATAGATTTTTAAAAATTCTAGCTAGCCCTCTATATTCCACCATCTTCCCTTACAAATACGCCAAATCCAGAAGAGAAGCTAGTCATAGTGTGATCATACTTCAGGGACAGTTTTTTCAGTCTTACTTCCAAGACAAAAATATTCATTCATGTAGCTAAATTGTCCTGAAAGTGCATATATTTACATCCCTAAAAGATAAAAGGTATAAACACCAGCCAGCTTTTCCTTGGAAACTAGAATTCTCACCTCAGATATGGATTTATAGTGGCACTGGGAATGTCCCTTTGACCAGTTTTTCCTTTTAGCCAGATTGCCTCACCTGGCCCAATCAGAAGTAGGTCATTGCCTGGGTAGGTTTCATATTCACACTGCATGCACAGCCACCTGAAATGAGAGGACCACTGCATAGAGCCAGTTTGGTGTAGTGGTTAAGTGGACGGACCCCACTTCTCCACTTGCAGCTCCTGGATGACCTTGGGCAAGCCACAGTTCTGTCAGAGCTGTCCTTGAAAAAACAGTTCTTGAAAGAGCTCTCTCGGCCCCACCTAACTCACAGGGTGTCTGTTGTGGGGAGGGGAAGGGAAAGGAGTTTGTAAGCCGCTCTGAGACTCCAACTGAAGGGCAGGGTATAAATCCAATCTCCTCTTCTTCTTCTAGAATGCAGCACACACAAGTTTTTCTTACACAGTATTATGAGCTTCCAAGTTCTGCACAGTGGGAAGACTGATCTTCCTCAAACAACTGCTGGAACATCAATGAAGGGAGAACAAAGCATTGTCATACAAAGTGTGCCACATATTTCATCCCCGCTACTACCATTAAAATCACATTTCCAAGAGTTTTTACAAAAAATACTGCCACATTGTGTTTTTGGAACTGTGATGTTTTCAAAGGGAATTTGCAATTTGCAGAAATACTATAGTATTCTGTGAGTGCAGAAAAAAAAGTCCTTATTCTCCATTATTATGCTATATACTTACTTTGTGCCTTCATCAAGTGAGTGCATGGATCCCCCCCCCATAATCATGCCTCAGATGTTCTGAGACTTTGGCTCCAATTTTGAAAGTAAAAGGTCTTCTATAGACTTTACGATTACAGATACAACCCTAATTCCTATTACATTGTTCACTGTATGTCCCATCCCGTCGATTGTATTGACTCAACTCTGTGTAATCCACCTTGAATCCAAGTGAGAAAGGCAAACTATAAATAATGTAAATTCATATATTTTTTAAAAATTACATAAAACCAGATTGAATATACAAGTGCATATTCCTGCATATGCATGCGTCTTACCTGGCTGACATGGCTTTCAAAGAAGATTAGAAAAATTCCTGGGGGACAGATTTATCAACAGCTATTAACCAAGACAGCTAAATAGAATCTGGTGTTCACAAGCAGTTCTCTCTAAGTACCAGCTGCCTGATGCAAAGGGGGAAGACACATAATGGGAGATTGCTGTTACATTTGTGCCCTGGCTTATAAACTTCCTGGACACATCTGGCGCACCACTGCTGGCCTAGACTGTCCCTTGATATAATCCAGCAGAGCACATATTCTTCCATTGTTCCAAGGACTCCATGCTTGCTAAGATATATAGAATTATATTCAAAGTTTTGTTTTGGTTCTCATCATATGGAAGCATCCACGAAAATCATCCAGCCACACTGATACAGAGAGCAGTATCTCCGTGCTCCATTTGTGCCTTGCATCCATCAACACACTAAATGGAAACACATACTGTGTTGAAGGATATCATATGAAGCATTTCTGACTATTTTAATGTGAATTTCTGCAGTAACATACATAGCACTCCAAAGTGACAGTCATTTATATTTTTACAGTATTAAAATTAAAAGTTGCTCTCAGAAAGCAAGTACACTTTTGTTTGTTCACAAATGACCAATGCAAAAATTTTTTTTAATGAACATTATTGGGGGGCTCAACTTTACTAACAAATAAATAAATAAAAGTCCAAACGAGTTGCTTTCAAGAAAAGCTATTATATTCAAGAAACTACACTCAGTAATTTCGGCCAAACCAGCTGTTGATTTTTTGGGTGCTCAAATAAAGAACCAGATTGGTTATATAGTATTCTAGTGTTTCTTCCATCCAGACCATTTCCACATGTACTTTTCCAATGGAATCCACATAATTCAAGTAATAGCTGGGTCCAAAATATTTATAGAGATCAGGTGCTATGGAAGTGGTTACCATCTTGACTGGGGCACTAAAACACCAAAATGGTTTTTGTGATTCATCCAGAAGAGTAACATCCATAATGAAGCAATTCTACAGAACAGAAAAGATGTCAACCAATTTTCATACTTTATCACAACAATTAATTTTGTAAAAGTATTTGTCTTGCAAAAATTCCTTATTCTGACAGAGCTCAAATAGTCTTTAGTTGTACTGAATAAGTAAAGCAGACAGCAAGTAGTAGCTGTGAGAAAGCACTAACATATTCAAAAACAGTATAGAAAAATATCCTGTGCTTTATTAAAACCTGAAGTACATTATACGATGGTCAAGGGCCGAAGGTGCCGGTCTTTATTTTCACAACACCAACAGAGAAAAGCAACGTACTGAAAGCAGCTATATACCAAGGGTAACCATGGTGATCACAGTGTCATTATCCCAGTTTTATCTACAGCTGTTACCAAGTCAACATAGAAATATTTACATCTTTTTTTCTAAATGGTGTCCTAAAATCAGAGATGCCAAACTTCGGAGTTGAACTGCTAAATTCCCCATCAAGAATCTGTTTAGCCTCCCCCACCCCAACTTACCGACCTTTCCCAAACCAATATTTATGGGGGACTGGCAAGACAAGTGGTTACCAGTGATTTCTTTAAAAAAAAATTTTTTTTATCCCTTTTCAACTCCAGTTTGTTACCCCTTTCACACCTTGCCTTCCTGAATTCTTTCACTACCAATGTTGCCCCAGTTACCAGCTACCCATCCAAGGTCCAAGCATCTCCATATAGTCCCACTATCTAAGCCTTCTTTTGACATACCAGTGTTGCCCTCCAAACTAATTTTGTTTGCCAAAACAGTTCTACACTACCCATTCTGCCAGTTTACAAATGCCATCCAGACCTCATTCTCAACCAACATAATGCATCTCACACATACCCATATCTGTACTGCCTGGGCCAGTAATCAGCAGTCTGTGTATGACATGCATGCACATTTGCCCATAACTGGCAGTTGTACAGGACCTTTGTACAAGAAACTATAAAGTGCAGCCCTAATCAACATCATAGAAAGCATACATTAAGAGATAAACAGCGAAATTAAGCTAATTTACTAACATTCTGAATTTGTCATATAAATCAGAGTTCCACATTCCTTTTAATGAAACTTTGATTGCCTAGGCATCATATAAGAGGAACAAACTTTAATTTGTATGGAAAGTTCAGACCTTAGCAAATCTTTGGTGTATTTCAAGATTTTTGTTCTTAATATTTTAAAGACACTGAATTTTGCTTTCTGCATGTTACTTCATCTTCCATTTAACAGAACAGATTTACTGCAATTTACCTGAACGATACCGTCAAGTGCATCTGTCTTCCAAGAGAGACCAAGTTTTCCAACAAGAGGCAAATGCTGAGAATTCTTTTTGTAACTTATCACTGTAAGTCTCAGGTATCCATTTCTAATGTAATCTGTATTAACCAAAAAGATATAAAATTACATCATATTAGAGCCAGCTAAGCCAGCAGTTTTTTGAATGTTTTTTTTTTCCTTTACCCTGAGTAAAGCTTATGTCATTTATAAAAACAAGCCCTTCTTGGGACATATCAATGGTCCAGCTATGCTAGCATTCTCCCTATTACATGGGCTGAACTCAGAAGCTAGATATGTATAACATAACATAATCCTAACAATGTACTCCATTAAGGGACCCATGTGTAGGCATGTAATCTGAGAATTACCTTTTCTACAAAACAAACTGCGAAATGTTCCACACATGTAAGTATTTCCTTTGCTGTGCATATCAATGTGCAGCTGATAGTCATGCAGGCCATATTCTGGGTCAATATCATCTAACATTGCCTTATCTGGGGCTACAGTATGCATCCTGAAACAGAGAGAAACAAACCAGTCATAAAAAAGGATGCCAAGTATCTTCAAATAAAATACTAGTTAACAAAGAACATTTTCAAACCTATTTTTCTCAGCAGCATTCAACTCATGTTGGGTGAGAAGTAGTGGCTCAATGGAAGAACATCTAATTTACATGCAAACGTCTTTATTTCGGCATCTCTAGTTAAAAGGATCTGCTAGTTGGGGCCTGAGATCCTGGAGAGTCACTGACAGTCAGTGCTGACTTTGATAGACCAATCGTCTTAACATAAAGCAATTTAATGTATAACTCAGCTCAGACTCCTTAAATCATTACCTGAGTAGCCTTTTTTAAAAACAGAAGATTTCACCTGCCTTGGTTTAAACACTCATGTTGTTCCATGCTGTGGCCTCAGACCAGGGATCTTTTACACTTGTGCGTAAGAGCTGCCCTCCCAGTATCCTCCCTGACCACCTGCGTTACTTCTGTGCACCTGAACAGTTCATACAATGCTTTGCCCCATGCCTACTCCTACAACTGTGTGCCTTCTCAAAGTGAGAGGTCCCTTCTCTCATTCCACCCCCTTCTCCCTGTTGTCCTTTTGGTTCCTTCAGCCAGCCCTTCCCTGGGTTCCTCTGGCTCAGTCTCTCCTCCTCTGTCGGCTTCTTCAGAGCCTGGAATTGGCTCTGCCATCACCTCAAGTCTCTCACAGCCTTTACCCCTGGCCCTTGGCCGGCTTCTCTGGCCCTCCCTCATCCTGGCGTCTTTCACCACTTCTGGAGCCTCTCCGCCTCTACTGCAGCTGTTGGCCTCCGCAGTCTGTCTCTCTGCTGCTGCTCCTCCTCCCTCATCTCCCCAACCATTGGATTTTAAATCCCACAGTTGGCCAGCCAAGCCTCGTTCTCATAGCAACAATGGTGCATCACTTCCAGCCCATTTCTTTTTTCCCTTGCCCAGGATGTGGGAAATGTCCTGCTACTACTCAGGTCCCACAGGGTCAGCTTGTTGGCCACAACCCTCATAAAAGACATACTCTGGCTGCTTGAGACTTGGAGAGTTTTCAGTCATCTGAGTTGAATACTGATTTGTTTATAAAACTGTATCCTTTGAGAATTATACTAAAAATCAATACCAAGTATAAAAGATTTGGTTTTTATTAGATAATTGTTATAACTGTTCAATCATTTTTTTTCTGTATTCAACTTCACATACTAAATTGAATGTTTTTGGATTTTGGGTTAGCAACGGAGACGCAAATACAGTTTTTCCCTTCTACAAAGAATGCTTCTAAACATAAAACTAAACTCTCTAATCTTGCAATTATATTTAAATGGTTCAGAAAAAAGCCTTTAATTATGCCTCCTTAATGATTAAGTAATTTAACCAAAACCATATAATTTTTCCCACTATGCTTTGCAACAAAATTGCTACAAATACACATTCTTGTTTAAAACTAATTATAATTCTAAATTCTGCAGCAACACTTTGTTCACCTTCTTTTGTATACCAATGCTGCATGCAGCAGAAGACAACTAAAATCAGTACTTACGCTGTAGCAGAGCCAAGGATGCTTCGCTCAATAAGCTGATGGTAATGAAGACATGCCATAACAAAAGCAATTTCATTTTTCTACAAAGTTAATCACAGAGAAAGTATTTTTCACAACAAAGCATTTAATTTCCCCCAAGCTCTTTCAGAAGTGAAAATAAATTTAAACTCACAGAAAAGCTACTTCTTCATGGGCTAGAATTACAACACTGTATCACTGGTACTTTAATACTATTTTAATGACTTAACAGTAAACAGGCCGTAATTCATGCATCTGTTATTGTACACTGCATCCCAGCACAAATGAACCCTGCCACTGTAGACCCTAGAAAATCAGATCTAAAAGAGAATTGTATGTAGTTTAACTAGCTTCTACAGAAAAGTGAACTAGAAATAAAAATGGCAAAACCCTATCATTATCAGTAACCTGATCCCTGACTCGTATACAGTGGGACAAGACAATATGAAATCCCGTGAAGTGAAAAATATGTCTATTTAGCACTATCCTACTGTAGCAGAGAAACTCCAAGGAAGGCAAGCGGCCTAGTTCACAGCTTCTCAAAGCTTCATACACAGTTCCATGAATTGTGTGCTTTGAGTATTCATGCTATTTACTGACTACAAGAAGAACTGGGTGAATATTCAGTATAACCAATCTTTGTTAAGTCTGAAAATATTATCATAGAACAGCTAATCTGCGCAATTCTACTGGCTCTTTAGTATCGTTTTAAGGATGCACACAGACGTAGGACAGATAGAATACCTGAAGATAAAATAACAGGATGTGGAAATATTAAATCACAAGTCAAATCAATACTCTTAAGAACTGAAGCTCAGAGAGGAATGAGGGTGAAAGGATAAAGCCAGTAAGGCAGGGCAGGGAAAAGAGAATGGTGGGGAAGGTAAATGAAGCTATTTTAGGTTCAGGCAGCAGGTGAGAGTGTGTGAACGTAATCACTGGCATGCTTTTCTCCTCCTGCTTCCTTTGCATGTGTACTACACTTAAAATAACAGTTCGATGTGTACAAATGGCAGTTGCACACAATCACATGAAGGACGGGAGAATGAGCACAATGCATGACCACTGATGTGTCACATATGTAGTTTTCCAAGTGATATAGGCTAATGTGCCCACAGAAAATCAAATTTGGCAAAGCACAAATTAGTTACATGATTTAGTTACATGATATCTTGGCATAGGGAAAATGCATATTAACTGTCCTGGGGAGAACTTTCCATCAAGGGCTGAGTCTTTCCATCTGCTCAGTCCTGCCCCCTGGCTGCTCAAACTCTTGGGAGACTCGCAACCTGGCACTGTTTCGCTGATAATCTGTTAAGAAAATTCATACGCTTTCTCTCCAGAGACCTGCTCAAGGAGGCTTACAGCTAAGTTAATAATACAAAGCCATTAGAACACACCCATTAAAAAACAAATGCCATTAAAACAAGCCAGGGCACAAGCACAGCATAAAATACACACTGTAGCAGCTTAAAATGATGTAAATAGAACACTCCTTAGGCCAGAAGCAGCCCATAAAAACATTTGAAAGATAAAACTCTTTAGTTAAAAGCCTGGGGGAAAAGGAACGCTTTAGCCTGATACCTAAAAGTATAGTAAAGTGGGCGGCACAGGCACTCCTTGTGAGAGGGGAAATTCCAAAGGTGAGGCAACATCACTGAAAAGCCCTGTCCCTGGTTATCTCACCCATCTTTCTTTTCAAGGACGGGGGGGCAGAGAGAACAGGACTTCAGAAGACGATCTTACCTCTTGGACTGAACAGTATGGGTGGAGGAAGTCCTTTAAGTACCCTGGGTCCTAAGGCATTTAGGGCTTCTTAGGTGATAACCAGCACTTTGAATTGTGTCTGGAAAACAGCTGGGCAGTCACAGTGCAGATCTTTCAGCACAGGGGTTATACAAACCCTGTAAGTAGCCTCCAGCAATAACATGGGTACCACATTTTGAGTCACCTAAATTTTCTGGACAGTTTTCAAAGGCCGTCCCATGTCTAACGGGCCCCCACCTTGTTAGGGCATTCGCTTTAGCTCACCTTAATGCCATCCCATCCGAAGTATTACAGGGGAGATTTCGTCACATTCCATATTCAGATTGTCTTTGTCCTTGCAGTCAAGGTAAAATTGATACTCTATCTCACAAAATATTGGAATGTCAGTTTTTTACTACTTTTAGGAACCACTGGATCTCTCCACTTTTAACACACTCTCTGGCTGCGATCACATGCACTAAATATTCCACTTTCAATCCACTTTCAAACTGGATTTTGCCAGTTCACACAGTAAAAATCCAGTTTGAAAGTGCATTGAAAGTGGATTATTGAGTGTGTGTGATCGCAGTATCTGTTTAATAAACTTCAAGGGGATAATATTCCCAATCTGATGCTAAACAGTGACCCAAAACACAACCTACTTGGTCACCAAATCTCTGTCTAGCATATTTTCCTTTAGTAAATGATGTATTATTCTTTTAGTTATTGCTCAAGATCATCCGATCATAGGAGCTCTGAAAAGGAAAGGAAGAAAAGGAAGGTTTAAGTCAGTTCTATCTCATCAGACTCAAGAACTGTCATCAGGGATGCTATATCAACAGCCTAGGCTTTATTCAGGACATAATTTGGCCTTTTCACTATTTTTTTTTACACAAAGTATGTGTATCAGTCCACTAAGCAAGAGTTGTAGCTTTTGGGTTGGAGGTAATCAATATGCTGAAAACACACAACTAAAATCAGTACTTACACTGTAGCAGAGCCAAGGATGCTTCACTCAATAAGCTGATGGTAATGAAGACATGCCATCTAAGAACATTAGAGCCCTGCGGGATCAGACCAATGGTCCATCTAGTCCAGCATCCTGTCTCACAGAGTGGCCAACCAGTTTCTCTGGAGGACCAACAACAGGACATAGAGGACGAGACCTTCCTGTGATGTTGCCTTATTGAATAAGCCTCCTGAAGTAGATGTCTCTGCCCTAGTTCAAGCTAAAACTGAATCTAGACATGAGAGATGTGATGAGGGTTGGCAAGGCTGATGCTGAAGAGATTACTGACCACTTGGGATAGTGTAGGTCTGGCTCTTGCAGAGCAATTAAGAGGCACTCTTGAACCCTTCTTTTCTACTGAAGAATCAGGTTAGCATAGTTACCAAGAGGGCCTTCTTTGTCTTAACACCTTTTTTGTATCTTAACTCACTTCCCTTCTAGGCGCATCTGACCTCGCTATGTTTAGCCATGCTACTATAATTCTGCAACTAGACTACTGTAAAACACTGTACACAGAATATCCTTGAATGATAGCTCAGAAGCTTCAATAAGTGAAAATACAGAAAAGCAAGCCAAGATGAACAGATTACATTTGTCTAAAATAGCCTCTTTAATTGCCTATTTGATTATAAACAAATTGTCCAACATGAGTTGGCGATTATCCATATCTACTAGGTAAACTGCAAAACCCTGTTAATTTGTGCACATTCTTCACACTAGTAAGTTAATGTGCACAACTGCCACTATGTTCATCGGTTAATTTATATTCCTCTCAATAAATGTGTTTCTATGAGGCAGATTCATGTAGATTTTAAGTACCATGGTACTTAAAGTCTATACAAATTTTATCCATTCCTTATTTATCTATACAAATTTTTCATTCGTATAATCCTACCCTGAGAAGGAAATAATAAGCCTTGGCAACACATGATTGCATGTGGCCAAAGCAAGATCTGGCAAAGTGGAACATTAACAGAAAGCCCATCTCTGCCTTATGGAACAACAGACATCAATGCAAGTATCATTGTGGTTGTTAATTGATTTGAAAGTTTTTTCTTTTAAAAAAGGTGATACAAGTCTCCAAACAAAATATGAGACTTTAAAGCAGCCTGCCATGGCTATGGCCAGAAATATAGGGGAACAAATGCTGGAGTTGACCAGAAAGATAATGGAGGATGTTGCAGCACAGATAAACAGAGCTGGCCTCTCAGGGAAGTGCCCTGAAAGGCCATAAGAACTGCCCCTTCTGAAGGTCCGTAAGAAGAAGACCATTATATGGCCTTGTATAGATTAGAAGATGTCTAACCTATTATCAATGGATACAATTTGTTGAGGCCCAGGCGCAGAAGCATCTGAGAATCGCAAGAATGTCGAACTTCACAGAAGTGAAAATATGGTTCAAGGATGGGAATACTGGGTGAGGGTCAAAACATATTCATGTGTATAAGAAACTATTTTTAAATAGACTTTAAGATAAAAAGTAGCAACAATGAACTAATATTTTTATATATGGTCCAAGAAGATATTTTTAAGTATAGATAACCTTCTACGGTGCTTGAAGTTATAAGACAATGAGTTAGCCAAGAATGTGAGCCCTTACCAAATGAGACAGTTAACTACTGTTAGGAGATTATTTTAAAATCCTGTAAATATAGGAAAGTTGTATTCATCAAGAGCTTCTTCTCAGAAGGAGCTCCTTGCCTGTGACCTGCTTACTTTTGAGGAAAAAATGTACTCATGTAATTGTACTCATGTAATTGTTCTCCTTTAATTATCTAGGTAACAATGATGAAAGAAAGGTATAATGCTTCTTGGATTTTGTTTATATTCAGAACAATGCCCTGACCTGGATAGCCTAGGACAGACCAATCTAGTCAGATCTCAGAAGCTAAGCAGAGATGGTTCTGGTTAGTATTTGGATGGGAGACCACCAAGGAATATCAGGGTTGCTAAATGAAACTACCCTATACTGAATCAGATGGTTCATCGACATTTAGTATTGTCTATTCAGACTAGCAGTGGCTCTGCAGGGTGTCAGGCAGAGGTCCTTCACATCACCTATGACCTGATCCTTTTAGCTGGAGATGCTGGGGATTGAACCTGGGATCTTCTGCATGCCAAGCAGATGCTCTGCCACTGAGCCACAGCCCCTACCCAGGTAATGACAACCTACCTCTGAACATCTCTTGCCTTGAAAACCATACAGGGTAGGCATAAGTTGGTTGCAACTTGCCAGCAAAAAAACCGAACACAATAATAAATAAAAATAGTTAAAATTACTACTACTACTACTAATAATAATAATAATAAACACACACACACACACACACATATATATATATAGGCCAATGTATTGGCCTGTGCTGTGCACTCCATTAGCCATTGGCCCATCAACCACCACTCAAGAGTACTTGTGTGCCATTGGCTAGGTGCTGGGTTCGCTCCTCTTGCCCACCCACTCCCAGCCGGGCCCTCATTCCCTGACAGAATGAACTGCCAAAACGGCTGTCTCTTGTGACAAAGATGCTTCTCCTGCTTGGCTCCTCTCTGCAGCTGGCTGGCTACTGTGGTGGGCCACCAGCAATCAAACCATTCTCTTATCTTCCTGCTGTGGGGCTAACTTTTCCCTCAGTGGCTGTTGCTAGGCAACCAAGCTTGGTTCTGTCAGTAAAAAGGCAAAGGCAGGAGGCCCTTTCCAGGCCTTCTTTGACCCTTGTGGGGAACTCATTGGAGCCGGTCCTGACTAGGGTTGCCAGCTCCAGTTTGGGAAATTCCTGAAGATTTTGTGCTGGAGTCTACGGAAGCAAGAGTTTGGAGAGGGAAAAGGCCTCAACTAAATAGAATGCCATAGAGTCCACCCTCCAAAGCAGTTATTTTCCCCAGGGCGAGAGATCTGTTGTCTGGAGTTCAGTTGTGATACCAGGCGATAGCACAGCCAGTGTGGCGTAACAGTTAGCACATCAAAGCAGGGTCTGCCAGACCCAGGTTCTTCCTGTGGAAGCTGAGTGGGTGATTTCAGACCAGTCACAGACTTTCAGCCTACCCTACCTCACAGTGTTGTTGTGTAGATCAAAAGGGGGAGAGAAGAATGATGTGAGCTGCTTTGGTCCCCACTGCAGAGACAGACTGTACTTTTCCTCCTAGGAAACCATTGTTGCCAATCTCCAGGTGAGGGCTGGAGATCACTCAGAATTACAACTGCTCTCCAGATGGCAGAGATTTATTCATTCATTTATTTATTGGATTTATATCCCACCCTCCCCAAAGGCTCAGGGAGGCTAACAAAGAGGCACAAGTGCCAAAGTTAAAACAGATAAAAACAGAATAAAACAATACAATACAAAACACTAAAGTGTCGGTGCTCTAGATATCACAGAATCAGTAGTTACACGATGGGGGTCTGGTAAAAGTTATTAATTCCAGGCCAACAGCATACCTCCTAGCAGCACAACCATCCCATCTTCATCCAGGGACGTCTCGCACCCCATTTAATATCAGCACAATTGGTGGTCAAGGTGCAATAATGGGGGGTAGCGATGATGGAATAGTGGTGGTGGCGGCTCCTACTCAAAAGCCTGGCGGAAGAGCTCCATCTTGCAGGCCCTGCGGAACTGCATAAGGTCCCGCAGGGCCCGGATCTCCTCCAGGAGCTCGTTCCACCAGGTAGAAGCCGCCACCGAAAACGCCCTGGCACTGGTGCCAGCAAGATCAGTTCCCCTAGAGAAAATGGTGGTCTCTGTGTCATTACAACCTGCTGAGGTGGCCACCCTATGACAGCCCATGTGACATAGTAGTTACTAGTTAGAGCTTCAGAGCAGGGTCTGCCAGACCCAGGTTCTTCCTGTGGAAATTGAGTGGGTGATTTTGGATCAGTCACATGCTAACAGACTAACCTACCTCTCAGGGTTGCTGTGCAGATCAAAAGGGGGAGAGGAGAATGATGTGAGCTGCTTTGGTCCCCACTGCAGAGATAAAGTGTACTCTTCCTAGTTAGAGGCTGCAGGGAGGGGGGAGGAGATGGAAAGCTGAAGTCAGAGTGGCAGATAAAGGTAGGTTGATGGTTGGTTGGGAAGGAGATAGGGTTGCTAACTCCAGGTTGGGAAATTCCTGGAGATTTGAGGGGTGGAGCCTGGAGAGGGTGGGGTTTGAGGAGGGGTGGGACCTCAAAGGTACAATGCTATAGACTCCTGGGGAACCACTGTTGCCAGTCTCCAAGTAAGTACTGAAGATCACTAAGAATTACAACTGCTCTCCAGGTGGCAGAGATCAATTCCCCTGGAGAAAACGGTGGACTCTGTGTCATTATACCCTGCTGAGGTCGCCACAGCAAATTTATGCTGAGTGCCCAAGGCTGTGGCACCCACCCAGAGCCTCTTTCTACAGCTCGTTGTATTTATTTCCACAATGGGCCTTATTCCTAGTAATAATAATAAAGCTTAGAATGGAAGCAGAGACTCTCTAATAGTATTTGCTTGTGTACTATGCCCAGAATGAACCTACAGCATTAATGAGGTATACTTGTGTCTAGAAGTTAAATTATCTGATATAGAAAAGCTAACTAGAGACCTAGGATTTCTTAAGTGTATGCTTATACCTGAATCAGGACTGATCAAAGTCATCCAGAACAAACCATAAACAAACTTGTACTGGGAAAGTGATCTTACATTCCAAAGTCCCAGCAAGACTCCTTGTTCAACATGGTAAAGTTCAACAAGTGCATCATGTCCAATCATTTCAGCATTTTGAGTCAGATTGGCAAGTTGGTATTCAGAAATCAAGGAACGTCGCCAAGGCCTTTAAAAGAACATCAAGTTAAGTAATGATCAGACTTTGGTAAAGCAGTTAACAGTTTCTTCACAACAATGACTGGCAACACAGCAAACTAAAAGTAAATCATTTCACTTATTCCCAGACTGGTTTATAAACACAATCTTGTAGCTATTATTGAAGGATGATGCTGTGTTTCTGGATGACCAGTCCTTTCCACTTCCTCCAAGAATCACAAGAAGAAGCAGCAAGAATTCAATCCCCATATTTACTTTGCCAGTGAACAGGCAATATGCAATAGGGATCAATCACAAATGCCTCTCGCGTTGGATACTGAAGCCTCTGAAGTTCAAAGCAGTGAAGGAAATCATCAGTACACCCTACAGTCGTATGCACATCTCTTCCTTACAGTCCTCCTATACCAGGGATCCTGAATCTTTTTCAGACTGCAAGGCACCTCAGGAATACTGACACAGTGGGGTGGGCACCAGTATTCCCTCTAAGCTGAGTTAGTGTGAGCTGGCTCACAGTTTTTTAGCCTCCAGCTCACAGATTTTTGTCTTGGCTCAGGAAGGAGGGCTCCAGAGCAAACTGATGTATGCAGTAGCCAAACAGTTTGCTCACAACTTGAATGCCAGGAGCTCACGAAGTAGAATTTTTGCTCACAAGACTCCACAGCTTAGAGGGAACGTTGGTGGGCACAACCACAAAATGGCTGCCATGGGAGGCAGAGCCAACCAAAACATTAGAGAATGCGGTTGTAACTCTGACAGTAGGTCTTTATGTTCAACAGGATGCCTTTTGAAATCGTATTGTTTCAAAATCTTTTCTTGCATACACGCAAAATAAGTATACATATTGAGCTAGCTAAGAAACCCTTGTCTGGCAGTATCTGCATTATATGCAGGCATTTAACACATGTATAGGAGCTGCGGTGGCTCAAGTGGTTAAGACGCTGAACTGCAGGCTGTGGAAGGTCGGTAGTTCAGCAGTTCAAGACCCAGGGTGCCGCATGACGGAGTGAGCTCCAGTCTCTAGTTCCAGCTCCTGCCAACCTAGCAGTTCGAAAGCAAGAAATTGCAAGTAGATAAATAGGTACCACTTCGGTGGGAAGGTAACAGCGTTCCATGCGCCTTGGTGTTTAGTCATGCCGGCCACATGACCACGGAAATGTCTTCGGACAGCGCTGGCTCTTCGGCTTTGAAACGGAGATGAGCACTGCAACCCTAGAGTCGGATTTGACTGGCTTTCGAGCAAGGGAACCTTTACCTTTACCTTAACACATGTATGGAAAGGAAAAAATGCTTCATCTACTGCCTTTCCCCTTTACATGAGCCCTTCTCCAAGAGCCTAAACATTTTTAGCCTGCACTACTACTTGTAACAATGACAGTTAGTGCTGAAGGGCTGGTGAGAGCCCCAGTAAGAGAAAGATTCTGGCCATATTTTAATAGGAACATGATTTTTTTTTTTAAGTGAACAAAATTTGATGTAGTGATGTTGCTGTCAACTTTCACCTGAACTATAAAATAAATTAAAAGTGGCAGATTTGATGACTTCAGCTGAAGTTCCAGTTAGGTACATTAAACATTTTAGTCGCGCAGCCCAACCATGTTTAGTCAGAAGCCGAGTCCCGTTCTGGTTTTAGCACATCATTACACTATTTGCACAGGTTAAGTACATAAAGCCACTATCAAAAGCTCTTCCTGGCCCTGTCCACTTTCTAAAAATATTTGTTGGGCACCAGGAAAGGTTACAGAGGCACTACACTGGGGACTCTTGTTCTGTATCTGTTAAAGATAGAAAGATCATGCATCCAACATGGCATTTTACTGTATGGATCAGCACAGCATAATTAATAATCACTATTGGTAAATAGCTGGTCCATAAACTGCAATGCTGCTAGAAATGTTCTTTTATATTCTATATACCTAATTCTCAATGTGGCGTCCATCTGATAAAATCCCAACATTGGTGGAAAAATCTTAAATCTAAATATATATATATTAATCAAGGGGCTTAAACTTCCTAAAAGAATAGAAGCTGTGCCTGTACTTTTAAGAGATCTCAGTGGCCACTGTGGGAGTGGCTAGGCAACCACAATAATTTGTGGTTACCATAATATTGCCAGCTTTCAAATCTTGGATTCTGTCACTAAGAGGTGGATGAGAGCACTCTCCATCCCCAGGGCTGTTTTGGCCTCTCAGTCCATCCCTGCTTCCCTCCCTCCTGTCTTAGAAGGAGGATTTATCAGGGCCAGAGCTAGTAGCAACTAACAGGCAACTCATTACCATACAATTTGCATGGCTTGCCCAGGTGTGGCAGTGGCTACCAGACAACTTGATGCCACACAGCTTGCCTGGGCCCCAGCAGCAGCCTTCACACAACTTGCATGACTTGGCTGGACCCCATGGCTGCCTTCATCCAGGTGGGGCCTGGAGATCTTCCAGAATTACAACAAATCTCCAGATTACAGAGATCAGTTCCTGCTTTTGGAGGGTGGACTCTATCGCATTATAAATCACTGAAGTCCCTCCCGTCCCCAAACCATGCTTTCTCCAGGCTCTTCCCCAAATCTTTAGGGATTTCCCAACCTGGAGTTGGCAGCCCTACTGGGCCCAGCAGTGGCCACCACAATATCCACCTGAGCAACTTGCTACTCTATGACTTTTGCAACTTGGCTGGGAGAGACTGCCTGGGGGGGGAGGGAGAGCTAAGAGCCAGTGCAGTGTAGTGGTTAGAGTGTCAGACTAGGATCTGGGAGACCCAGATTTAAATCCCCACTCTGCCATGTAAAGTTGCTGGGAGACCTTGGGCAGGTCTCAGCCTAATCCACCCCACAGGGGTTTTGGAAGGGGAAAAATGAAGGAGAGAAGAATGATGTAAGCTGCTTTGGGTCCCCAATTGGGGGGGGGGGGGGGAGTTAGGCTATAAATGAAGAAAATAAATAATAAAGCTAAAGACATACCGGCAGATTAAAGTTGTTTGGTGAATGGGAAAAAGAGAAGGATGCAGGGACAGGGAGGAAAAATATGGGACCCATCAAGGGTCGCCAAGTCTGGCTTGGGAAATTTCTGGAGATTTGAGGGTAGAGCCTGGAGACAGCAGGGCTGGCAAGGAGAAGCAGCTCAGTGGGGATGTAATTCCATAGAGTTTGCCCTCTGAAAATGCTGCTGCCTCACGTGGAACTGATCTCTGTCATCTGGAGATCAGTTGGAATTACAGAAGAAGCCCTGGCCCCACCTAGTGGTTGGTAACCTTAGGGCTGAGGAGAACAGAAACAGGAAATAGTGTGAGGGAGGGGATGCAGGAGGAAATGAAGTGACCCTACAAGACTTTGCAGGATCTCAGCTTGTAAATACTGAAATAACATTACTATCAGTACTGGAAAACAAATTCTTTATCAACAAATAACTCATCAGCAGGCTCTAGAAAATACAATGACCAACAACACAAGCGAAAGAATTAACTTACCCATTCTTGAGATAAGTTTTACTCTCACCTAGAAGCACTGGTGTCGCTCCATATAAACGCAGAGATGTCAAGTTGTCTAAACAAGGCCAACTAATACCATACCAAAATACAGTAATAGAGGTCTCATTAAAAGAAATGTCTGCCTGATCCATTACATGTTCATTGCCACTTCTTTCTTTTAATATGATAATCCATCTCAAACCAGATGTTCTATTATCAGAAAAATTAAAAGGTTTAAGATTGTATTTAAAATACAGAATATGGAAACTAGTCACCACTATGCATAGAAATTCCTGAAAAAGAAAACTTCCCACCCTTTTTATCTTAAATGAGGAATATTACAAGATTACTCCAAGACATTCCCATCACAAACGTAAAGCTGACAAAGTGTGCAAAAATACTACTTCAGTGTTATTAACTTTCATAACTTTAATATTATTCAGAAACTAGTAAATTACCAACAAAATCTGAGTCCAGTGGCACCTTTAAGACCAACAAAGTTTAATTCTGGGCATAAGCTTCCATGTGCATGCACACCTGGATCTAGTAAATTACCATAGTCTACCTGAAGTTTTCCCCATTTGTTCACAATATAAATAAGCATCACTATTAAAATAGCAAATCAATTGTCTACGAATGAACCTGTTTTTAACACACTTACTTGATGGCATTTTTGGTTTCAACTGGAAGGCCTGTGTAAGTATTTACAGACTGCAAAAGGTGAATTATTCCAGCCTTTCCAGAAGCTATTTTTTTGATGATGTACTCTTTCTTCCAGTATCCTGATTCCTTATGTTGCAAATCAGAAAGCCTCAGAGAAACAGACAATTCCTGCACAGCTTCAGTCTTCCATTTGTTTCTTTTAGGGAGAAATGACTTGGAGTATATTTTTAACCAGATTGTACTGAGAGAGAAAACACACACAGCAAAAAACAAAAACCTGAATCTTTTAAAAAATTATATAAACAGAGGTTAGGTATAAAATCATTTTTAGAGATCAATTAAAGCATTTTTACAGCACCAAATACTAATATTTTAAAATCTATATAATCTATTTTATAATCTATTTTCTAGTGAAACAAGTGGCCTATTAATAATACTGGACTACATGACAAGTTCAATTAATTAACACTCTGTATCCAAGCATTAATTACAGATTTAGTACTGACTGAATTTAATTACTGTAAGATGAAAATATCACATTTGTTCTTTCATTTCATTTACCTACCTCTACGACGGTAAAATATCTCAGGGCAGCCAGTTTATTAAATTGTAAAAGCTAATCAATACCATAAAATATACTAATAATTTTAAAAATCATCAAAAGTATTACAAATCGATAACAGCACCAGGTAGTAATAAAAATCACTCTAGAATACATTTTGTCTTTTCTCAAATGCTAACTAGAATAATATATGCTTAATGACCAGCTAAAAAACAAAACCAAGAAAGTCTCCAGATCTTGCTGAGAGTTCCAGATCAGCTAACCTAACATCAGATAAGACTAGCAGTCCAACCAGAAACCAAGTGCACAAGAAGGACTTCAGGAGGTTGAAACCAGTACTGTGAGTATGCCTGGATACTAACTTAAAGGCAACCATTTCACTAAGACGTCATAATAAACTGTAATTTATAACCACAGATTGATCCTCCCCTGAGATGTCTAAATGTAGACAGTGCAACAAATCAGGGTATTTCTTCACACCAAAATGGGCTTTAGTGTTACAAATACAAATACAGTACCTTTATTGGCATAAAATATCAAATACACATGCAGCATAGAGCCTCAAGATAGGCTGGAGGGGTATCACATTCCGAATTGCTGCTAGCATGAAAGCCCTACGAAGATGGGGCTGAATCAGTCTTGCCAGGTATCCTGAGGAAATATGGCTAAAAGAAAGTCCCATACTCACGGGAGAGCAATGTCTGTGCGCAAGTCTTCTCAGATCTTGCACCTCTATATCGAGGAGTCTTTGTTTGAGTAAGGCAAAAGCCTTCTGCTCAGACAAAAGTACCAAGTCATCAAAACTAAAGCCGATTATAGAATTTTTTTTCTCTATATTAATCAACCAAGTCGATAGATGGGATTCAGTTAACATGTGCACCACAAGACTGTTTGGGCCAGATCTAAAATGAAGGCGCAGCCAAAATTTGAAGGTTCTGGTCCATGCCATCGTAATTAACCGTCTTTGGACTTTAGTGTTTAAAGCTGATTTGTTATCCACTACTGGTACTAATTGTGGTTTGTTGTGACATCTAAATTTACAAGTCATAGTTTGTTGAGCAGCTGCATCCCTTGTAACCACCTAGCCAGTTAGATCTTGAGGACTAACCAGAGTGTTACATTATCCACAGTTTAATCAAACTGTAGTTTATTACAGCATCTGAATGCGTCCAATGAGAATTCAAATATATATCATTTCTGTCAAACATGATTTTTTTTTTCAGACACCATCCAGGGCTACTCTGGGGGATGTCTAAAAAGGAGGTAAACAACTCATATTAGCAGATCTAATGAAAGTTAATTGGAATGTATTAGTGTTCTTATTTTTTGCAGTTCACTTTTTTTTTTCATACAACACAGCTAAGGAAGATATCCACACTATGATGGGAAAAGAGTACCAAGAAGCTGCAAGTATGTAGCGCAAACAGAAGATTTCTTGAAGTGGGTTAATACAAGCAATTCACATACTTGATCTTCACATTCAGACTAATACAAAACACCTGCTAAAATAATAATACTATCCACTTGAAAACTACAGCAGAAAACTACAGAAGAAACTGGGCATATCACATTCAGACTAATACAAAATACCAGATAAAATAATAATACTATCCACTTGAAAACTACAGAAGAGATTTGCCCAGACAATTAAGTATAAAAATAAATTAAGAGACGAGACTGCGAACCTTATGTCAAAATGATTGCTATGCTTCCTTACTTGTCATTGGACAGATGATAAAAACGCTTATTCACGCAGCCAATACACAGCAGACTCACAGTATCCAGATATGAGAATATCTTCAGTATTACCTCTGAAGGTAAGCTAGAAGATGAAGAAGATGAAAATTGGTGCACTTATTTGAACAGAAATATGAAGAAGCAGTATGAGTTGGAGAAGGGGAGCAATTAACCCATTTGACAGTAAACTAAAAGAAGTGAGTTGTTCTTACATCTGCTACCCAACATCAGATCCAGAGAGAGAGGGAGACGGGGGGGGAAGTGGGGAAGGAGAGACAGAGCGCACTGTCCTGCACCCCACCCCTGGGGAGTTTTGAGGACTGTGTGTTTTCACCTTTCCTTTGTATCCCTGCTTGAACAAACTACATGTACTCTTTTTTATTTTTGTTTATTAAACTCCCTTATATTTTGAATGCTCAGTCCTGATTTCTATAAACACACCAGACTAGTTGGTCTTGCAATCCAAAGCACAGTAAAGGGGAGAGGCAGCAAAACAGTTATCATGCCTTGAGTGCAACAGCTCAAAAAGCGCAATTTATAGTCCCCTCACTAGCTAGGATGAGTGAAGCAGGAGACACATCAACTAGATGGTGCCTCTAAAGAGAAGTGCAGATAAGATACAGAGTGTTAGATGTACAAATGCATCTAGTAGGGTATACTCTTTCAAATGTGTTAGTGAAGGTGATTACTACTGAGAGAGAGAGAGAGAGAGAGAGAGAGAGAGAGAGAGAGAGAGAGAGAGAGAGAGAAAACACCTCTGGGAGTAACGGAAAGGGTCGGCATTGCAGAACAGAGATTTGAGATGGCTAAAGAGCTTTACTGAGCTCCCAGGACCTGATTTATTGAGCTTTATCAAGCTTTATCAAGCTCCCAGGTTTAGAACAAGCCACAACTCAGCAAAAGTTCTCTGCACCTGCTATCACCATATGTAAACCCCTCATCACGTGGATCTGTCCAGTTAATCAAAAAGTACCCACATCAGTACCAGTTTCCACACAGGATGGTTATCTACATTATAACTGCTGCACAGAGCCCCTGAAAGTGTTTTGCAGCAGTTTTCAAACTACTAGCCTAATGTAAGAAGCAACTCTATAACCCTCCCTTCTAAGTTGAACATAAATGAGAGTTAATTAGGACATATTACTAGAGATGTAAACTTTCCAAAACGTTGAAGTTATACAAATAAATTATGGAGATTTTTCTGGAAAAAAACAGAAATATGGGTGGGGAGGTTAAAGTAATTAAGTAATACTTAATTTCTCTGTCAAACCTATACTTGTAACAACATAAAATGCAGCTTAATTAATATGTAAAATATTTATAATATTTGACATATTTATGGAAGTTTCAAGTAGAAATGGCTTAGTTTTCTACAAGCAAAATTAAAATATGTCCAGTATCTGAGAGAGAGAAATGTAAATTGCTGCACCCCTTCCTAATTCACCACATTCATATCTTAATGTTTGCCACCTGAGAGGTATGAAAAAATAGGTTGATATTAGAGAACAAATTTTGTAGTAAACAAAAGAAAGCTATAATTTGGACAGAAAGTCTCATGCCGTCTTAGTAACAAACAGCATCTTTGGATATCAGGGGAAGATTTATAACAATGAAAACACTAAACTCTTTAGTAATGTATTTTCAAACACATTATAGCATATTAATTGTTGCTAACATCATTCTCATTTATTCAATGAACATGCCCTTGAAAATACATTGTATATATCTACAGTATATACAGGAATTATAGTTATCTAATACTACAGACTGTATTTCATACAATCTTCATGGTACATGTTTTAAAAGAGTTTACCCTGTTAAAATTATTTCACTAATTCCAAACAAGAAAATACTTCACAAGAGGTTATCCACCATACCACCAGTGCTACCTCAAACTTTCCAAATTTCTCCTCTGAAGAAACTGAAGAAAGTCCTCAAAAACACTGAGTGTTTCTCCCAATTTTTTCCAGGACACCACATCTCTACATAGTTCAAAAGCATCGTCAGACACACAAATGTGTGTTATTAATGTTATACCATCAAGAAATTCAGCTTGACATTTTAAGTTTCAGAGACATCATCATATACCAACACACCAAAGCAAAACGTTTTCAATCAAATAAGTTATTCAGATCTTAAAAGAGAAGTCCATTTAAAATAGACATGCTCTTGTTAAAAATGTTACTTCAGTCTAACTAAATGACCATAATTGTAAGTGCTCTTCTAGAAAGTATACTATCACAGAACTCAGCTATACTTACTGCCATGTAAAAATACTTAAGAGTGCATTTTTAACATGACAAGCATTCTTTACCTTTCAATTCCTGTTGTAGAAATCGATTTAATAAGCGGCTTCCAATGCTGCTTTTGAAAGTGCATCATTTTGAGTTCAGAGGGCTGCATGGCTGTATCAGTTGAGTATTTGGACACAGTGCTGAAAAAAAAATCCATTATATCATCAACTGAAAAATTGTATGAAGTAGAATTGAGACAAGTTTCACGAATGAGCTGTATGTTCTGTCCAAAGTGTTCTCAGACCATATACAACTGACAACCCACTATAGCAGGGATACCATCATTTAGTTATTCCTAACAGCACCCTAACACAGAAACGTTTAGCAGAGATAAATGGGTCAGGAAGATAAGTGATAAAAGAAGCTTCATCTTGTTTGTTTTGTGTGTTAGGCTGAAGTTAAAGGAACAGAAAAGGGCCCAAAAAGTGGCAATCCATATAGATAGAGAGAGAAGAGATTGCTACTTGCATAGTATTTTATTGCCACTTAGCTACGAAGAGAATACCACGGTGAAGGGAAGGGGGGCAGGTTCCTGTGAAAGCAAATATAATTAACAGAAAATAGCTGTTTCCTAATTCACAGGAAAAATGGGAGAAATGAAGTCCAAAAAAAAGAAAGCAAAATTCAACAGGAAAAGAGTCTTAATAACAGGCAACACACGGCTATTCCAAGCTACGGAATCTTTAAAAAACTATTTTATTGATTTGATTTATGCCCCATTATTTTATTGACTTGATTTATTCTCCACAATGGGGATCCAAAGCAACTTCTATTATTCTCCTTTCCTCCATTTTATCCTCACAACAACCCTGTGAGGTAGGTTAGGCTGAGAGTGCATGACTAGCCCAAGGCCACCCAGCAAGCAAAGTGGAGATCTAAATCTGGATCTCCCAGATCCTAGTCCAACACTCTACTACGCAACAATTACAATGGCATGGTTATATATCAAATGTAGTCTAATCTCCCAGATTAGTATTATGTTTAGTTTTACTCACTTTTATTATCTAAAGTACTCTTAGCATCAAGAACACACCCTCATGTGAATTTTAAAAAAAATTTAAGCTACCCCTGCTCTGGTATATCATATCATGTCTATCAGCACACAGAATAAAATGGTATTAACAAGATGTTCATGGAACTGCTCCCATCAGTACTAAAAATATACTTGTCAGTAGTGCACCAGCCCAAGAACATCATTTTTACAATATGTAATTTTATATAATCTGTACATAAATCTTCACTTAAGACACACACACTTTACTGGAAAAAAGATGGAAAAATCCTAAATCAAGCAGTTGTTAATCAACTATTTGGTCACTCAGATATTTAATGTGGACCAACTGTGTTGAAAATGTTGGAACCGGTCAGCAAATCTGAAGTTGAGACTGGGCCAAGTTTGCATGTTTCAATAATGAAAGGATAATTATGTGTTCTTTAATTAGAAAACAGTCTGGGAAGAATTTATTAAAGCAGCTATTTGAAGAAGTAGCATACAAATATTTACTTTTTAAAACATTAAACCTTGGGGTAGTATGGGCTTGTCCATATGCCATATCAAGGGCTAGGGTATTTTAAGAACGGGGCAGAATGAGTCAGACCTATTTTCTAAAATTCTGTAAGAAATTCTGAAGCCCTATTGGTTGAAAAGTAGGTCTAGAACTAAATATAGTAGCTCAATAAAACAGTGACATGGCTGAGGTCAGAATACCCTGAGGTAGGTGCTGTTGACTCCCCACCTGCACCTCTCCTGACACCCACGCTCATGCCCTTCCCCTGTTTGCAAGTGCTCTATCACCCATGCTCCCCAGCTGCATATGCTGCCTAGGACTTTTGGGAAGGGGCACGCAGGGCCAGCTCCAGGGTTTTTTTGCACACTAGGCGAGGCTAACTTCTGGTGCCCCCCCCCCCATGCGCCCACCAATTTTCAAACATAAAAGCATATTACCACCCTAATAGGGTACTGTACATAGTAGCTAATTTGGGCAAACCGAAGGGGAGGGGGAGTTAGCACTCCTCCCATGTGAGGTCTCAAGCATGGATACCACTCGGATGCTGGCCAAACTCCGAGCTTGAGAATGACCAGGAGCCGCCATGTTGAACTCCCTTGTTTGTCTCACCTGGCAGACTCGGAGGGTGACCCCCTTTGCTCGAGTGGGTTTTTCTTCCAGCAAGTGGCCATGGGGCTTCTGGGGGGCTCAATGAAGGCCCACTAGCCTCCGCCTGCCTTGCCCGGGGAGGGGAAGCACGTCTCAGCCCACGCTGGGCTTGCCGGCTGACCGGCCGTGGCCCCTGGGAGCAGCATGGGCAATGGGTGGCATCTGCCTCGCCCTTGCAAGTTAAAGGAACAGAAAAGGGCCCAAAAAGTGGCAATCCATATAGATAGAGAGAGAAGAGATTGCTACTTGCATAGTATTTTATTGCCACTTAGCTACGAAGAGAATACCACGGTGAAGGGAAGGGGGGCAGGTTCCTGTGAAAGCAAATATAATTAACAGAAAATAGCTGTTTCCTAATTCACAGGAAAAATGGGAGAAATGAAGTCCAAAAAAAAGAAAGCAAAATTCAACAGGAAAAGAGTCTTAATAACAGGCAACACACGGCTATTCCAAGCTACGGAATCTTTAAAAAACTATTTTATTGATTTGATTTATGCCCCATTATTTTATTGACTTGATTTATTCTCCACAATGGGGATCCAAAGCAACTTCTATTATTCTCCTTTCCTCCATTTTATCCTCACAACAACCCTGTGAGGTAGGTTAGGCTGAGAGTGCATGACTAGCCCAAGGCCACCCAGCAAGCAAAGTGGAGATCTAAATCTGGATCTCCCAGATCCTAGTCCAACACTCTACTACGCAACAAGTTTGCTTGTTTCAATAATGAAAGGATAATTATGTGTTCTTTAATTAGAAAACAGTCTGGGAAGAATTTATTAAAGCAGCTATTTGAAGAGGTAGCATACAAATATTTACTTTTTAAAACATTAAACCTTGGGGTAGTATGGGCTTGTCCATATGCCATATCAAGGGCTAGGGTATTTTAAGAACGGGGCAGAATGAGTCAGACCTATTTTCTAAAATTCTGTAAGAAATTCTGAAGCCCTATTGGTTGAAAAGTAGGTCTAGAACTAAATATAGTAGCTCAATAAAACAGTGACATGGCTGAAGTCAGAATACCCTGAGGTAGGTGCTGCTGACTCCCCACCTGCACCTCTCCTGACACCCACGCTCATGCCCTTCCCCTGTTTGCAAGTGCTCTATCACCCATGCTCCCCAGCTGCATATGCTGCCTAGGACTTTTGGGAAGGGGCACGCAGGGCCAGCTCCAGGGTTTTTTTGCACACTAGGCGAGGCTAACTTCTGGTGCCCCCCCCCATGCGCCCACCAATTTTCAAACATAAAAGCATATTACCACCCTAATAGGGTACTGAAACTAGTAGCTAATTTGGGCAAACCGAAGGGGGGGGGGGAGTTAGCACTCCTCCCATGTGAGGTCTCAAGCATGGATACCACTTGGATGCTGGCCAAACTCCGAGCTTGAGAATGACCAGGAGCCGCCATGTTGAACTCCCTTGTTTGTCTCACCTGGCAGACTCGGAGGGTGACCCCCTTTGCTCGAGTGGGTTTTTCTTCCAGCAAGTGGCCATGGGGCTTCTGGGGGGCTCAATGAAGGCCCACTAGCCTCCGCCTGCCTTGCCCGGGGAGGGGAAGCACGTCTCAGCCCACGCTGGGCTTGCCGGCTGACCGGCCGTGGCCCCTGGGAGCAGCATGGGCAATGGGTGGCATCTGCCTCGCCCTTGCTCAGCAGCCAGAAGCAGCTGAGGACTCGCCCAGAGCCCCGCGGCGGTGGCATGAATGGCCCCCAGGCAGGAATGGAGCAATCACTTTGGTTGGGGGGGGGCGTTCAAGGGATGCGGGAACCGATGGGGCAGCAGGTCAGCCGTGCAGGGAGCCAAAGAAGCTGGGGCGGGGGGGCACCCAAAGAAGTCCTCTGGGGCGATGCCTGGCCTCGTCACAATGGCAGGAACACGGGAGGGAACGGAACAGCAGCTAAAAGGTGCCCCACACACACCGCCGCACCTGCGCAATCATCTCCCATGAATACTTTTCTCCCTCCCGCATTGCCCGGGCAACAAAATAATGTGGCTTTGCGCGGCCTAGGTCATCGCGAGGTGAGCAGGGCCAGGAGGGCTGTGTGGGGTGGAGCCATGCAGGAAGGAGGGCGGAGCCCAGCAGGGGGCCCGCTGAAGGCCAGAGCAGTGCGGAGTCCCCAGAGGAGTGCACTTGGAAGCTGGTCTCCGCCGCTGCAGCGTGGGGTTGCAGCAGCGTCGCCTCAGCCTACCCTGTTTAGGTGAGGGAGGGAGGGCAGGGGAGGGGCAGCAGGCCAGTAGCCGCAGGGCACCCCCCTCTTAATGGACCGCTGTAGGCCATTGCCTAAAAATTCTCTATGATGGGCCGGCCCTGGGGGCACGTGGGAGGTGCAGGCAGCAGAAGTGCTCCTAGCTATAGCAATTGCCCTCCCAGCTTCACCCACAACCACTGAGGAAAGGTCATACAGGCAGTGTGGACAGCTGTGGCTGCAGGTAGTGGGAGCGCCAGTGACTGGATGGGGGAAGGACACACAGCCACCAGAGACATGCAGGTGGGTGGCCAAAATAGTAATAAACATAAGATACCCTCCTCAACACTGTCTGCCCAGGTGACCCAAAAATCTGGAACCGGGTCTGAATAGCGGCAATACACTGACTGAAAAGCACTGGTCAAAAACCTACTAATAATAAGCTTGATAGTAGCAAAAAGAATGAGTTAAAATCCCTCCTCGGCCACTAAGCTCACAAGAAAACCTCGAGCCAGATGCTACGTCCACCTAACCAGCCTCACAGAGTTCTTTGATGTTCCCTCTAAGATGTGGAGTCTTGTGAGCAAAAATTCTGCTTTGTGAGCTACTGGCATTAAAGTTGTGAGCAAGCACTTCGGCTACTGCATAAATTAATTTGCTCTGGAGCTGTCCTTCTTGAGCTAAGACAAAAATGTGTGAGGTGGAGGCTAAAAAACTGTGAGCTAGCTCACACTAACTCAGCTTAGAGGGAACACTGGGTCACAGACACTAAATAATCCACTTTCCATGCACTTTCCAACTGGATTTTGCCAGTTCACACAACAGTAAAATCCAGCTGGAAAGCGCACTGAAAGAAAGTGGAGTATTTCGAGCGTGTGACCGCAGCCTGAGAGAACTATGAACATCAACCTGAGCACCCTGGAGAGAAGGAGGAAGAAAAGGGGAAATATACACAAAACTAAACTGAAATTCAGCAAGTGACGCCTCTCCGCCCCCATTATGAAGATTTGGTGGTGGAAAGAGCGTCGCCTGCTGGAATCCTTCTTAAAGGGAACGAGAATTAGCGGCATCGCTCAGAATCAACTCTAGCGCGGCCGTCAAGCTGTTTTACCTTCCCCAAGGAGGGCAGCCGGGCGGGCCCAAACTTTCCTGGAGGGAAGAAGCCAAAGGAAGTCGCCGAGAAGAAGGAGTGGGCGATGCCGTCGTCCCGGCCCGTCCGAGGGCGCCGGAAGCAAGAACTGCGGGGCGCGAGGCCCCTAAACTGTGCTGCTGTAGAATCCAACCGCGTCCAGTCGCCATAACGACAGACACTCGCACGCGCGCGCAACTTGCAGCTTCTTGGCCCTTTCCGCCAAAAGGGGGCAATCAAGACCACTCGGCAGCTGGGGGACGGCTTGTAGATAGATTCAGGTGGGTAGCCCGGCTGGTCAGAAGTAGCCGAACAAAGTCTGAGTCAAGTGGCACCTCTGAGACCACCAAAGTTTTAGTCGAAGTGCAAGCAAAACTTTGCTGGTCTCAGAAGTGCCACGACTCAAACGTTATATTATTTGTAACCTCCCAAATGGATATATATAACTGGCGATTCTGCCTGTTATGAATAAACTTAGGGAGGAATCTTGTTAAAAAGTGAAGACTAATGGAGGTAGGAATAGTACGACTAAAACAAATACCTTGATAACTGCTATTTCTGTCAGACTGTATCTGAGTTTGTATCTGGTTTCCTTTCCAGTGTATTTGACAAAGTGTGCTATTTCTTCATAAATATATATATATATACTCCCTCAGGTGCTGACTCT